ATAAAATAACTTAATAAATAATTGATCACATCATACGATCAGTGGTCCACTGCTTTCAATAGTAATATTTAATTTATATAATAGTTATATAATATATTAATATAAGATATATACAAAATAGCAGTTAAGAAATGTATCAAAGAATAAGACAATAAAAATAATAATTAAAAAACAAAAGTTCAAGAAGAAGGTGCAATCAATGGATAGATAGGCTCTCCAACAATCAATTGGTGCTTCAATTATATATAAATATATATAAATCAATGTCCGGCATAGTTATGTCCATAATGTTAGCAAACAGTAATAAGTGTATTATTATAAGTTAGTATTAAGTGATGTGTGCATTAAATACATTGTCATAATAAAGTGTGTGTCTCTTACTGTTGCATTTAAAACACCAATTAATTTAAAAATCAATAAATCTTTTTTGTATGTTTAAATGTTTTTGTTGAGTTTCACTATTTTTGGCAGCAAAACAAATGCTTATAATTTTTGATATAATAATTTTAAAACATTTTGTTTTTCCTGAAATAAATCCAAATAAAACCAAATGTTAGATATATCACTTTTCTCTCTTGAAAACGATTAAAACTGAAAAAATTCAATGTTTTTTTTTATATAAAAATTGATATTTGATTTATAGAATTAATTATAATAACAAATGTAAATGACTTACCAACATATGTTTTGGTCGGTAATTAACAACAAATCCAATAACCGGTTGGTTTTTGAATTAACAAAAAGTGAATGAGAGTCTACTTTAAAGGAGATGTGGGTATAGTCTTCCATAAGAGAGGTATCTGAGCATTTTGTATGCTGTAAATGAATGAATATATTGTTATTAGCCATAATCAACATTTACATACCAGTGCCTATTTGGCACTTTTTCATATTTTCGGTATTATAGATCATATGTACATTTTGACAATATAATAAATGTGCCATTAAATAAAAAACAACAGTTTAAACAATAGCACTTTTAACTACTTAATTGCATTTATAGAAAAAATTAATAATAAGCACTTTCTAACAAAAAATAGTCAGTCTTAGAGTTAATTATTTTTTTAATTCATTAAAATATTTATTATTCTGTAGAATACTAATAGAAAATGTTTTGTATTTTCATTGAATATATGTTCACAAATAAAAACACAATCGATATAAATTAAGAGTCAAACAATTTTTTAAATTGAATTTTTGTTTTATCATCAAAAATACAATAAATGTAGAGTTCTTTCTCTTAAAATGTTTTCAATTTTATTAGATTTTTCATAAAAACACTTTTATATGAATAAGCTCTGGGAAAACCTGTTAGAGTAGTAAATAAATCACTGTTTGACTTAATATTAATATACATCAAACCATAGATTCTATGGCATAGAATATACAGTATTATTACATAAGTTATATATATATATATATATATATATGTCATTCATATATACAGTACATATACCTTTACTTATTACGAAAAAATAAACATATTTTTCTAAATATTTATTATTATTAAATACAATAAATAGATAAAACCAGTTGTATTAATACATTTTATTTAATTTTAAAAAATGTTTTATATTTTCATTGATTACATTAATAACGATTACAATTTCTGTTTATTATATAAAAATTAGTTAAATTATAATAAATTTCATTTATTATATTTGATATTCTCGATAATGTCAAAAATATGCTAACTTTTAAGTACAATATTTTTTAAAATCAATTTTGACTCACACTATTAGATATTCCGTCAATTTATTCAAAATTAAATAACAATAATTTTATATAAATAACTTAAATAAAGAATAATATATTAAGTAATGTTAAAAGTATTAATTTATGTTTATTTATTAATTACTAATTATGAATATTTATATAATATAGTATTATTTATAATTTAATTTACATATTAATAAGAGATTCTTATTGATATATAATATAAATTGTAATTATAAACTATAAATTTAATTTAAAATATGACAATAAAATTTTTATAATAAAATTCTAAATAAATTAAACCAATAATTACAATTACTATATTTTATATAAATTTTGAATCAAATCTATAATTATATTTCTTTATAATAATAATATAAACAATAATCTTACCGTAAACCAACATTTAATTGGTTATAAAATTTTAAAAGATTTCCATTGTTTACAAACTAAAAAAACTTAGCAAAAAGTCATTATTTTATTTATTTTTCAAATATATATTATTGTCTGACAAATACTGTAATAATTTTAAAATAATTTGGCAGATAATCAGCTTCAATAGAAATTATAAAATTACATGAAATATTAATATCATAACAACTTTTTAGAATACAGTTTGAAAACGTTTTAAATCAAATATGAAAACTATTTTTATATAATCTAAGACTTACTGTAAATAAAAATTTTGCAAAATTCAGATAAATTCCTTACTCTTTGATTCAATACGTTTTATCTAGTGTTGGCAAAAAAGAGAAATATAATAATAAAATAATAGAGAAATATCTAGAAAGTTTCTAAAAGAAATTTCTATCTATGGGATCCCCATGTTAATTTTGTTTCTCTAGATATTTTTTTATCTTTTTAACAATGCATTGTTTGTATAAGTAATAATTAAATATTATTAGTAGTATTTTAATTATTTAATAAAGTAAATAATTAATTAGTTTATTTATATTAAACTATGTTATATATATAATAATAATAATAAAATGATGAGTCAAATTATACAAAACTGATTAATAAATAATTATAATTATTTTATACCCGGATATTCTACGAATCTTTATTCAACTATTATATAAGCAATGCATTGAATAAAGATTCGTAGAACACCCGGGTATATAGGTATCCCATTTTGTATAGTAGTTATTATATGTATAGTATGTCTCATTAATATAGAATTACAATAGCTTTAGATATGGGGATCCCATAGCATAACAATAAAATTAAATTTCAATAGAAATTTATTCCTCAGAAATTTTCTAAAAACTTTCTATTTGCCCATCTCTAGTTTTATCGCATATTGCAAATCACTAAAGTAGGTCATGAAATATATTATAAAAAATATATTATAATTTGAATTATTGTATGATATTCTCTTCAAAATATAACAAAAATAAAAACTAAATAAATTTATAAAACTAATTTTATGACTACTCTATAAAAATTAAGTGTCAATCCTAAACATATGGTAAGGATCAGACACTAGTTATGCTAAACTATTGTAATGTAACCCAAATCCAAATAACTATAATTTCAAATTATCCAAATTGATAGATATTTTTAGACAATCAAAGCTAAAAGATTTCGCATTTTGCTAATAATAAAAATAGCAAAAATTAAAAAATGTGAAATGTTTGTAATTAAAGCTGACACCAAATTAACATACAGTACAATATAGTATAGAATATAAGATAATTCAATACTAAAATATATATTCGAAAGAAAATTTTATATTTATTTGATATGTCTATCGAAACCACAAATATTTATATTTTCTTTATTTCAAACTCGATTTAAAATATATGTTTTTATATAATAATAAATTTTACCGAAATATCAATATTATAATACATTTAACATTAAATTTGATTAGATTACTCGCTTATTATATAAATCAAGAATATATTTTGTATATATAAACAATCAAAATATTGTTGTTATACATTATAGTATATAATATCATAATAATATAGTCAAAGTGATATAGGTTTTTCTGTATAATAATCATAAAATGATTGATTCAGTTTGATATCAATAGTTTTTAAGATCTTTTTTATCGGACAACTAATTGAGTTTATAATTAAAGAAAATATTAATTGAATTAAGAGAAGTGGCATTCAATCACTAACAAAACGACTAAATAATAAAAAACCGATTCCTTTCATTAATTAATAAAATCTAATTAAAACCTAAATATAATTATAATAAACTCAACTAAACTCTAATAAAGGAATAAACTTTAATATATAAATAAATTATAATTAATATATAATATTATTCTTCATATAATACAAACTTAATTCTAACAAAAATAAAATCAACGATAAAACATTGAAATCAAATAAATAAATAAATATTGAAAATTTCAATCCAATGAAAAAAAAATGATAAATCAACAAAATATCTTAAACACTTAATACTTATCATTTCATATGTTTGTCCAATAGTATCTATTTTTTAAAATTAATAACTAAACCTATAAATAGGAATAAATATATATAATCACTAAATGCTAGTAAATTAACCTAAAAATAGATCTCAAATATCTAATACAAACAAAATCACACTACAATATAATAAATACAGTATATATATTATATATATATAATTTATATTAATATTTGTAATAATCTGTTAATTTACTAGATTATGATTTGTATAATTAATTAAATGAAATTTCTATAATAGAATAAATTAAAATATGGTTTGTGACCAAACTTTGTATTAAAATAATATTTTTTCAAATAATTATAATCACAGTCTTGTTTTCGACATTTCAATAATTATTTTTTCTTTTAAACAAAACTGGGATCAGAGCTCACAATCGTCTGAAATGTGTTTTTTACTTATCAAAATAACTAATAAATAAAAATAATAAAACTCTCATAAATAATAAAATATAATAAAAATAACTAACTAAATAATAATTTAAAAATAATGAATATGTGACTCAATATGTATATATATATATACATGTATATACATATACATAAATATATGTTGAAATTATGTGTGAAGATAATAGACTCCACAATCACTTTATGCCAAAAAGTAAGAAAAATATCATAACTTGAATATACACATGAATTCACTATTTTTTGTTCACTAATGGCTGTGACTTACAGTACAATCAAAGCATAATAACTAACATATCATTTAAAAAACATTTGGCCAGAGATTGTGAGCACTTTTAGATCTTCAGACACATAAAACCGGGTCTAAAGACTAAACAAATTACATTTTTAACCTTAAAATACAATTATTAATATATTATTTTTCCGTATAAATATTATATTATAATAATATTTGATAAATATTTGATAAAATTTACGTTAATAGTAATTAAATTGATTCCTAAGAATCGGGTCCCATAATATATTGGATGTAATTATATGAAAAATTGGTAATAATTGCCACTAATAATGACTTTGTAATTAATATACACTAGTATTTGAATGAATATCTGGTCGGACACTAATATGGTGTGAATTTGCGGTCAGTCTTATTCTTGTTTCCGTTTTCGACAATACCGGTGGTCGTAGTATGTGTCGGAGCTCCGCCACGTATTTTAGTTGTCAACGACTTTATATTTCTAGCGTTGAAGACGTTGTTGAGGTCGTGAGCTGTGAAAAGGGCGCCCGAGAGGGTGGTTGCGGGGACTGCAGCAGCCAATTGAGTCAAAGGAATTGCCATTGGGGTCGAGGTTGTGGTCAGGCGGGTCATCGCACTGTTTGGATTTGCGGCTGACAAGGATGGGTCGAGGGTCAGGTTCTTGTGTAACTCCATGCTATATGCAAATTAAAGAGAAGAATATGGGATCAATCAGTGCCTCATCACCTCATAAACCGATAACCAGAAAACATCCATTTATTATATGTTTAACATCAAAATAAAAGTAATCTTAACTTTAAAATTATTTATAGTTTCTATATAATTCCCATAAATTAGCGTTAATTTTAAAATGTAATTTCATATCGAGTTAAGATATTTAGTAAAACACAACTCAAAAGTGATTTATTGTTAATTTGTATATTATGTGTAAACAGTTTATGTGCAGAAAATATAGCATTATTTTTAGAAACATTTTAGAAATTTGTAGCAATTATTATGTAAACTTAGATTCGATAAGTAAAACATAATTCAATTTATTGTATTTAACAAAATATAGTACTAAAATAATCAATAATAATACTAATAATATAAGTAATGTTATAAAAACATAACTAATTGCACTAAACAAATTGATAATTAATAAAGTAATAATTTTGGTTTCATTAATAGATAATTAATTGATTATTTTGTGACTATTATGTGGCATATTATACTCTAATATAATCAATCACTTTAAGCTAAGTAAGTAATGAAAATTAAGCATTAAGATAGAGATAAGTAATGTCTATTATGGGTACTATAGATATTATTTACTAAAATTCTATATAAAAGTGATACATTTATAAACCAAATTACTATAATAAGTAACCAATTGTGTTTATTTAACTCTTTTATAACTAATAAATTAAAAGGTAAAATGTTTACAAAAATTATTTTCAATAATTTAAAATGAAGTTTCTTATTGTCGTTTTCTAATAAAGCTAAATTATTTAAAAATTTTATATTCAATTGTAAAATTAATTAATTTAGTAAGAAAATGTAAAACAAATAAGAATATTATATCATTGAATAAAATACATTATGTATTTATTTTTAAACTGTATTATCATAATTTGTAAATTAATTTGCATTCAATATCTAATGAAAATCTAAAACTAATAAAGATTATTTAGGTAAATCTGTATGTAATTTCTAAGTTAAACAATATTATATATTTTTTTATAAAAATAGCTTTTATTAGATTTAAACAAAGATATGTTATTTTATGATTAAGTAATCAATAAGAATATAAATAAATAGGTGTGTATTGTAGTACTTTTTATAATGAAAAAGTTACTTTCAAATAGAGATTTACTAACAAAAAAATAGTTGAGTATTGTATAGAAAATACAAGAACTTCTCTAAATGAAAGCAGATTTTTGTAAAAATAAAGAATCGACAGAATAAACGATTGAGTGCTCCAAAAGTGTGAAAAGAAATAATAGAAAAATAGAGAGAGAGAGAGAGAGAGAGAGAGAGAGAGAGAGAGAGAGAGAGAGAGAGAGAGAGACTGCTTAAAGTATAGCAGCTTTAGTGGTGTAACACGTGATTTAGTGGCTATAATGTTAGTGTTGTTCAAAACATAGCATTTGGTATTTTGATGGGAATTGAAAATAGATTGATAACAATTGATTTGATGACACATTGAGACATTGAAAGCACTATCCAATGCATTGATGGATCAACTTATAAGACAACTTAATGATGGACTAAGAATGCCAACCATTCGGTCATAAATATAATTTATCCTAATTTTTGTGAATAATACAAATATCTAATATAATGAGTAAATATCTTATTTGTTTAGTTTAATTTAGTTTGCTTTTGCTAAATAATTTAAATAAAATCTCTATTTTAAGAAAAATTTGATATAAAATAAAAATAATTAAATTCAAATTTTTGTTTTATTATCAAGTTTTACAAACTTTTATCATAATAGAGTTTAGAAAAATTGATGAGCACTTTAATAGATGATAATTTATATATTTAAAATATTTAAAATGATAGTTTAATAGTCTTAAGGCTTCAAAACGCAAATAAATGACAAAATAGTGTTTTCTAATGATTTATTACTTTCATTAATAGATCCTCAAAACACAATTATAGGCTCAAAGCTGCCAAATCTGTCAATACATTATACTATTTGCTCTACTATGTACTGTATATATATTTATAGGATATAAACTATTTTAATCATTTCTATACTTAACAATAACATCAATGATACTGAATGTACGTACGATATTAACACCAATTTACAACATAATACTCATTGAATTGCTTAAAATAATTTAAGATAATATAAAGTGTAAACAAAATATTAGAAAATTAATTTATTCGAGAGAAAGATATTTAAGATATCAACTTATATATTATTATATACAAAAAGTGTGATTAATAGTAATGAAAAGTTATAATGTTAAATTGTATCGTTTTTATAATATAGTATATAATATTTATGGCAGTGATTAGTGTGATATATGGGAGTTAATGGGACACATAGTTAGTAATGGATTGAAAGGGCAATCAAAGTCATGTCGATGTTTATGATGTTTGGTTTTAGTGGACAACTGTTTCAATCCAAACACCTCAACAACGCTCCAATGTATCGGTAGACAGGATTTGTACATTTTTTTTATCTCATTTGTCTATTTTTGTGGCATTTATCACATAAAAATCTATATATTGTTGTTTGTAGTCTTCAAGTGATATCAATAAACAACTTCATATATTTTTTATATAACCGATAATATATAATATATTTATTTCAAATTGGTTTACACATCATATTCATGAAAACATTTCTTTTTATAATTAATTTCATTAAATTGTAATTACAGGTAAAAAATAAATAACATTATACTGTATTATCAATGCGTAGTTAGATTATGGCTAAGCTTTGCTTTTTTAAACGGACGCGTATTTAATTATGAGTCCACACACACACACACACACACACACACACACACACACACACACACACACACACACACACACACATACATACACACACACAAATACACACAAATACACACACATACACACACATACACACACACATACACACACATACACACACATACACACACATACACACACATACACACACATACACACACATACACACACATACACACACATACACACACATACATACACACACACACACACACACACACACACACACACATACACACACATACACACACATACACACACATACACACACATACACACACATACATACACACACACACACACACACACACACACACACACACACACACACACACACACACACACACACACACATACACACGTACTAATAATGTAATTCCCAAATGTATTGTTCAAAATCAATGGCTAAGTCTTTATACTACTCTGGCATTGATATTATAGCTATTAATAATCAATTTGCAGTTTATTATTACTAATATTATAAGTTTATTCATCGATTAACTACAGTACGACACATAATATATGATATATTGATATTAATTGCAATATGTATGGCATTAAACATTATAAAATATATAATTTTAAATGTATAAATGTTTTAATTAAATATTGTTTCTTCAATAACTCAGAAACTAATTTTAAATATAATTATTGATCGAAAAGACTGACTTCAAATGCATTTTCAAATCAACATTAATAATGTAAAATATAATCAATACATAGCATATAAAAATATGAAAATCGATTTATTGTTTATATATCATATGTTTCTATATATTACTATATATATAGATATATATATATATATATATATATAGTCAGTATAATAAATATTATATAAAGTATAGTGTTATGAGTTTTGCAAACTCATCTCATATATAAATGACAAGAAAGAGTGAGAGATAAGAAGCTCTGTTAGCCGAGCGATGGCACCCATACCTGGTATTGATTAGATATTGCGCCAAATTTATAGACTCAGGTGTTCCTGAAATGGCGACCGATCTATCCTTTGATCCTTCTTCTGAATTGGAGATTTTGATGGTTGCGCCCGAAAGTTGTCTTTACATACAAATAAATGGACAGTTAGTTGAGCTAACATTTTCATAACAATAAATCTCACCTAATTTCATTAATTTTGGCACCACCCTTCCCTATGATACACCCGATAAGATCATTGGGGATACTCATCTCGGTGGTGGCTGCGGCTGTAGTGGCCAGGGTAGCAGTGGCTGCGCCGGGTTGGCCCAAACTATTGGCTGCTGCCAAAGTTGCCAGGGCTGCACACAAATGCATCATTAATATCATCTTTTTACTATTTATTTCAATATTTAATATATTTATCAATATTTATCACTATTATAATTATCAATAACTTTCGGCAAAACATTAATAATTATATAAAAATATAATAATAATAATAATTATTATTATTAAATTATTGCCAAAAATTACTGAATTTAATTTATTTATCATTAAAAATTATACTATAAATAATATACTATTGAATAATTAAGTCAATTTAAAAATATTGAATAATAAATGATAAAATTAGTCTTAAGTATTAGTAGTCAAGATTAGGAAAAATGGATGTTTTTTGACAAGCGAGGGATACCTTGAGGATTGAGGGTCCCAACGTTGTGCCCGGGGAGGAGAGGGGCATGCTGTAGAGCCAGTCTATGCAACTTCGTGAGCTGAGTCATGGACAACATGGAGTAGCCATGAGGTACAGGATGTAGGAGAAAGAGGACACAATCAGATTTACCACCGATTCACTCAACCATATGTTTTAAAGCATTAACAATATTTCTCTATTTTTTATTATATCTTTAAATTCATTATTTTGTTTCATCTTAAATATTCTTCTCATAAATAATATAATATTTTAACATAAACTTTAAATAATTAATTTAGTGCAATTTTTTATGTTTAGTAAATTGAAATAATTTATAAAGCTATAATAAGGTTAAATTATTATAATCTATATAAATATGAAAACAATCAAACAATAAAATTTAATATATTTTATAATTATATTATTTTAATAACTAATATATTTAAGACCCAGTCTTACCATAAAAACATTAATTAATTTTTTTAGTTAATTTAGTATTTACTATTATAGCAATTAATATTATAAAATTAAAACAATGATTATACTATTGATAAATTTACTAATACTATTAATAATAACATAAAAGCATAATAAATATAAAACTTAAATAACGTTATAAAAAGCAATCATTAGTTTGTTAATCAAAGTTAGTTTAATGACAAACAAAATAAGACAACATATATAATGTCAAACAATAAGACAAACGACAAACACAGTAAACATTCAGACTTAATAAGAAAGTGATTAAAGGTTTGTATAGCATTATTGTCGTAAGTTATACATTGATTTTGATGATATTGAAAGAGAAAAGTTAGGATTGTTTACTACATTTGCTTAACATTTAGATTAATGTTTAACAAAAATGTATGTCCCGGTTATGTGGTGTTATGGCTCGGGTTAAGCGGGGTGTTAGAGACCGGACAATAGGCAGTGAGTGTGGCAAAGATGATGTCATGTATTTAATGTTAATGTATTGATAGTTAAGTTGTTGTTTTGAATGAAAATCACTTACAAAAGCAGTGTTTCCGATCTGCAGCCCCGATGCGGGAAACTCGACTAAGCCGTGACACTGTTGATCACATAAACCCTAAATCAGTTATTTGGAGGGTAAGGACCAATTGTGCTATTATTGCCATTTCCAACATTTATATCATACTATATCATACTATTTCATACAATTTTACTATAAGTACTTCATATCTTATAGTATTTTAGAGCCTTTTATTAACATCACATTTACATTTGACACATCAATACAATGTGCATTCAATATTCAACATTCAATGTTTATTGTTTATCAATGGGTTTTTTAATCAGTTGCTTAATATATATATATATTTTTGTAATCAATTTTGGTCAATATTAAATTTTAATGAAAATTTTAACTAAAATAAAAAAATATATAAATTAATTGACCAAAAAAACTTAACTAAATTAATGGTATAATTAAAAAATTGACATACTATAAAATTAGCTCTAAATATAAAAGACATGCATTGCTTGTAATGTTAAGCATTGCATTAAAGAAGCACTTATTGAAAAAAAATAATAATAATATCAAACGACACCAGAATTGATATAAAATCTGATAAGTTTGTTGTAAAGACTAATCAATTTGGTACTTACATCCGGGTGCGGGATTGCGTATTGTCCCTGTATAGTGTATGCCTGTCCGCCGGCAAATATCACGGGAGGCATTGCCGGCTTAGGACGGTATGGTATGGTTGCGCCTTTCGGTGGAGACTATAAAATATAAAGATAAAAATCAAACAAACATTTAATTAATCATATATTTTACTGAACCAAATCTTTTAAAATAACATTATGTTTATGCAAAATGTGTGATATATAAATATATTTTTCGTAAAAATTGCAAATAAATATTTTATGAATACTCAGCACTTTTATTATTTTATCAACACTGAGATACTATATATTGTTTAAACTATAAAGTATGTAAAGGGCAGGGTTGGCAGTTAAATTATGTTTGTATAATACATAACCAATCGTGCCTTACATATAAAGTTACAATTTATTTTTTTAATAAAAAGTATTTAAAAAGTATTCTAATCTTTTCAGTAATTTTCAAATTAAAAATTTTAATTTATTATAAATATTGCATGATATCTTAAATAAATTTACATTAATATATTTTTACATTATTTTGAAAAATACAATACAGTTTGTATAGAAATAATACTCTACTATACAAAAACAAAATTTCTAAACCTTGTATTTTACCAACACTGAGTAAAGAGTGACAAATAATATATATTTAAAAAATAAAACTATTTATAATAAAATAAAAAACAAATATCAATAAATAGCAATATTTAAATAAATCAAAATTATAGTTCTAGTTATGTAGTTGTTTACGTATCAATTTTCATTATTAATATGATTTTCAATTAAAAATTTATATGTAAGTAAAAATTTTTATGATCTAATGTAATTGCATATAATTTATAAATCATTCAGTATAAACTTATACTGTAATGTACTTATATTACTGTATTATATATATATAAATTTTAAATGTAATTTTATATTGTAATTCATAATTTTGACTAAAGTATTCTTAAAAATATGCTTATTTAGTAAAGACATAATTGAATTGACAATACTATGCAAATTTTTGATAATTAATATAATTGAAAAATAAAACAAAAATATCTAATTATTTGAATCCATTTTGAAATAGGTTTTGATCATTTACTGTATTAAGTTATCCTAATAGAGCACATTTGGAAAATATCAAATAATAGATAAATTAAAATATGTACAAACATTGTCACGAAATTGTTTGTTATGTGCAATACTTTTGTATTATAGTTGTAAATCATTTGCTTAATGATTAACCAATGATTTGTGGAAATGATGTTCATATCCACAATTCAAATGCTTTAAATGTGTTTAATGAAAAACACATGTATTGCATAAAAACTATTTATAAAAATATTTTTGTATAGTTCTTAAAACAGCAGAAAAATTAATAGTAATTTAGTTACTAAAACATAGTAATGTTATGTAACATACTATAAGCTTAGGAATTAAAACAATAAAATAATAATAAAAGTTAAAAATCAAACAAAATTTTTAAAAAAGATATAATCAATAAAAAATAAAGTATGTTTTATGACCTCAAATCTCAAATATATTGCCTTTAAAATGTTAACTGTTATAACTTATAAGTACTGTTAGGCTTTTAGTTTTATAATTAAATTTTTTGTTGAAAATTTTTCGCTGACATAAGTGATCATAAAATTCTTACATTTTGTCTGACTTTTTATTTATTCAGTTTAAATATATATATATATATATTGTGTAAGTTATTGTTGGCATTCATCACATGCCAACACAACTCAAACATCTAACCAACTGATAGTCTATTCTCTTAGAGTCACAATATATAGATTATCAAAGCTTGTGTTAAGGCCTCGGGGCTCAGGGCTATAGCATTACTACAGTTTTACATGTTTGGCACAAAAATGAGAATATTATGATATGTATTGTGACCGACGAGTCTCAACATAAATACAATCATTGCAACTGCTCTTCACTAATACTTTACACTCTACTGACTTCAAGCATTGGTAGGTATGGGCTCTGTATTGAATCATCTGAAATTGAAAAGTTGTAATAAATAAAGAGTGCATCAAATGAAACACGAGTTGCAAACTTGTCGTCTATTTTAAAGGCACTTTCAAATCAATCAATAGCTAAACTGAGTTATTCATGAATATATTGATTATTCACGTTTCAAGTCCTAACGTTTTGTTACTAATCCTGTAAAATGTATATCGATTTTTTGCAGCACTCCTTCACTCGATTTTGATGCAAATCTATCATAAAAATTATTTTTTCACAATTCCCTAATCTCTCACAAATATGAATACAATTTGTTAATTTTAATTAAACATTAAAGTCATTAATGAGTGCATAATTTCAGCAAATAAATTGATTTAATAAAGTTCATTGAGATTAATATAATAACTTAATAAGTTCTAATAAAAATAATTATTATAAAAAGCTATATTATTAATATAAAAAATATAATTTTTAAAGAAATAATGCTTAATAAATTAATGTTTATTTAAAGATATCGATCATATAATTAGTTAAATACAATATATATATATATATATATATATATATATATATATACTTCACTCGAAATCTTACTGTTAATAATATAAAAGTCTATTTTATTGTAGAATATTCTTGAGCTCATTCAGGAGTGAATACAATTGATGTACAATTCAATGGTAGAAAAGTCGATAAAAACCTGCATTGAGCTCAGCGTCTGTCACAACACATAACATACCGGTTCTCGACTATAATTTAGTAGGAATTCCTAAAAGCTTTCAATTTATTATTAGTAAATTCCATTAAATATATACCAATTGTAAATCATGTCAATCAAAGACTTTATTTTTTAATGTTAAGTCAATTTTCATATATAAAAGATAGCATACATTACACATTACTATAATAATCACACAATGAATCCTTAGTCAGATGTATACTAAGTTTTTTTGGCCAAAAATTATCATAAATATTGAATTTTGTAATAAATTACTTCATATAAAGAGTGGCTCAAATTTTGAGCAAATTTTAAATTGGGTTTAAATTGCTATTTGAAAATAAGTGCAAGTTTTGCTTAAATTCGATACATTTCAATGCAACAAATAAACTGTAGATTTATTATAATATATATATTATTAAAATAATAATAACTTGTTTTATACAACAAATTTTCAATTTAAATTCATATTTTGAACAAAATTATTGAGTAACTTAGATATTTGCATTGAATTAAAATACACTATATTTGGTAATAAATAAAATGCAAATAATGATATACAGTGTATTTAATTAAATTATTATATGTTAGCACTATTCTACATAATGACTATTAGATATTATTATAGAAATTAACATCAATAATAAAAAATTTAACATAATAAATATTATATTGCATTTTTCTCTCATTGATTATATACAGTATATTTGCATAAGCAATAAATAAATATATATATATTGGTCTAATATATGGATACTTAATGTGCTGATATTAATACTAACATAATATAAACATTTCATTAAAAAAAAACAATTAAAATATCGTCTAAACTAATAATTGTTTTTGACGTAAATTGTTTCAAATAAAGAAATGTTAACTTGCAATACAAGAGTTGATTCCCACTATAATCACAGATAATGTCAATAAAAGACAACTCCTGTTAAGGATTAGTGTATACCCTATTTGTTTGTCTAACACTTTCAAAGTATGCAAGTCTTATGAAAATCTAATTATATTACAGTCTATGAGTGCTTTTGATACTTAATGTTAGAAATTCAGTGCCAGTAATAGTCGTAGTTTTATTTGCAATCGATTCAACAAATATTAAATATTACATATATATAACATTTTATCAACTGTATCGTTAAATATCACATCAAATTCATATTAGACGACAAACTCAAAGCTCAATTAAAGTTTGCTTTAATCGATCGACAAATCATTAATAATAATTGGGATGAAACTCAATTGGAAATATAGTTAAAAGGAAAGGTAGGTTAGACTGATGTAACGATGATGTTTGAATGAAATTGTATAATATATATAATACATGCCTCCATCATAACACAGCAAATCTGATAAATGCATTTTGTTATTGATTCAGAACTGCCTGAAACAGTGACGGCTCTCTCAGTAGAGTTGGGCAGCATTTCGGAGGCCACCTGTATTGTGGCACCAGTTATCTGTCAATTACAATATGTTTATTAAGTTAATCAATAAAATATTTCATTTGACAAAAACAAGTCATAATTGTAAACACATCTCTTACTTCTCTAATTTCTTTGATTTTGGCGCCGCCTTTACCGATAAGGGACCCGCACTGACTGGCCGGCACTATGAGCCTTAATGTGACGTGTGGTTTGTTTGCTATTGGCGCTCCGGGACCACCACTGGTCTGGACATCCTTTCATGAGAGAAAAGACAAAATTACATTTAATGAGACAATTATTTCAACAAATTGCAAATTATTTTTAGCATTTAATTACTTCTTCAAATTTTCTGGCAATCAGTGAAAAGGCTTTAAGAATAGCCTCAGTGGAACCGGTGACAGTGACAATGCGCTCTGGACACGACCCGTCAGAAATGTTTATTTTGGCACCGCTCTAAACATACCGATCCACAAACACACATACAGTTAGACTCCATAGACTTTATATTGTTTTCAACTATACAAACCTCTTCGCGAAACTTCTTTATATTATCTCCTTTTTTGCCAATAATAGATCCCACTTCCTAATCAATATAATCACAATAATTGATTAATAAAAATCTAAACATATTTTCTCAAATTAATTAAATTTATAAATATTTTTATTGAAATTTCTAAAAAAAACAGAATACAGTATAACTTAAATCATTTATTTATTTGTCAATAATATAAATACTAATAAAAATAGTTATTATTAAAAGAAAGACACAATTTATTGACATAAGAAAAATGATTGAAAAACTAAATAAACATTAGTTTAACTCAATAAATATTTATTAGTGATTGAAAACTGTGTAGTGAGTGAATGAGTGAGTGAGTGAGTGAGTGAGTGTTTTAACAAGAAAAAAAATATTTTAAGTCAACTGTTATTTAAAGAAAAAATACCTTAAAACTTGTCATTAAACAACAATTTAATAAATAAATTTATATACAATTTTTTGAGTGAACAAAATCAATAAAAGTGCAAATAAACAATATTTTGTTAAACAATTCATGCTTTAATCTCAAACCAATATATCTATTGAATATGAACATACAGTAGTATCTATTTACCTCAAAGTCTTTTTTAATAATAACATATATTGTTGATAAATATATATAAAGGTATTATTCAATGAATAGAGTGGAAGTCAATAATTAGTGAAAATCATATCTACCATATTATTGCAAACAAAATATTCATTATAAAGATATCAGTAAATCTTGATTTTAATTATGTTGTGTAGTGTTATAATACAAACAATGTAGTGAATGAGTGAACAATGTTTTCATTGGTAATCAATTTATAGATTTGTAATTTAAAACTAACAAAATTCAGTTGTCCTCTACTTGTGATTCAACTAAACGTATTATTAGAAGTTTATAAAACAAAATCTAAGGATTTACTACTAAGTTGTGACAGAAATTCAGTATTAAGTATTGATTGAATTTGTCGAGAGATAGAGGTTGTCAGTTAAGATATGTGTGTCCTCTTTGTATGGCATTTATAGTCTTAGACTCACACAAAAAATGCCTCAATATCTCAATGTCTTTATTTTAGTTCATCTCAAAATATATACACCATTTGTGATATAACATTCAATATTGTCAAACAATATGCAAACAAATATTACACAAGTCTTAGAATTTAAAATTTTATCTATAATATAATTTAATCTTTAATATTATACTTAATAATTAACATTTAATACTGTATATACTGTAAAATCCTAGTAAATAAAGGCTAAACCTGTCATATATTTAATATGCTATTTTGTTTAGTTAATAAATAACTATTATAACTATTAATAAACTAATATAATTATATAAAATTAGTGACAAAAACTCTCGATTGTATTTCAAGAATACCTTTTAATAGATTAATTATATTATAAAATTGGTAATATTATTTTTATTTAAAAATTAATTATTATTTTTTAATAATATTATTGACTTAAATTATATTTATTTTAATAGTTAATTAGATTACATTTATTTATTTATTTAGATTTTGAGTTATTCAAGAAATTCATTATATTTATATTATATTATATAAATTATATAAAGCTAAATATTATATAAATTGTATAATACTAATTATTAAATTTTTATATAAAATAGTAATTTTTAATTAACTCATAATCCATTATTAAATGCAGTCATAAATTGAATTACTATTAAAATATATAACTTAGTTGATATCATAATATTACATAAAAACACAATTTAAAATTTGTATCAATACATTATAGTTTTTATAGAATTTCAATATTTTTTAATTTTTTTAGATTAAGAATTTATTTTATTAAATATTTCATAATCTATTGTAAAAAGAATTTTAATTTTTTAATTTAAATTTTCTAAATAAAAAAATCGAATGAATTAAACTATTTCACAAATATTAAACAACTATTTATTTTTATTTATCAATCATATAGAAAAATCTTGAGGAAATCTTTTAAAAAATAAGACTTAATTAAGTTGTATCTAGTATATTTTTATATTTATAGAATTTCAAATAGATATACTAATTTTGTAGATATTTTGAGAAACATGTATAAGCTTACATACTGGTGCTTACTTTAGTTATGGAAGATTACTAACTAATCCATAACTAAAATCTAGTTACAAAAATTCTATATGGTCCTAGCTCAGTAGCTTAAAATTATTAACACACAAAAAATCAATGGTTTTTACCATTGATTTTGTATAAAATAACATTTTTAATAATAATAATAATAAATTAAGCAATGCTTATGACATAAGTGAGTCATCAAAAATAATAAATAAAATAATGAATATTAAATAAAAAAATTTGTGAATTAATGAAATGCAATAACAAAAATGAAAGTCATTAAAATTGTCTTAAAATGACAAATCTATTGATAATAATTAAAAAATAAATTGTATAAAAATGCTAGTTTTGTCAGATTATTGAGTAAATGAGTAATAAATATACAAAATTTTAATTATAAATGTTTTATAGTAATAGTATATTGACAGTTAAAAAAGTTAATTTTATTTTTAAAATAAAAATATGTCTCAACTGTGTCTCTCTGTTGTAATGAAATGGGACAGCGGTTACAGTGGTTTGCAAAATAAGATGTTAAGAGACAAGATATGTCATGCTTTTAGACATTATATGTAAAACACATACATATCCTAAATATATATGCCATATAAGTGTATACTATATATAGATAAATGATTATATGAGATACTGTATATTTGTGCAATGTTTGCACAGCCCTGTATTGTTTTGTTGTGACCTTTTTTTTATTGTATATTCAATTTGGAAATCAACGCATGAATTTTGGCTAATTTTGTTGGCTAAGAGCATACCATACCATAACATACATACCATACACCCAATGACTTGCAGTACAGTACAGTACAACACAATATAACTATAAATATATCGTTCCCTTTGCTAAATACGATTGAGATAAGAGCAGCACATCTGCTAAACTATTTAAGACTAACTCAATCTATTGCCAACTCATTGCATAAAATATGAGAAATATACAACTTATATAACAAAATTGTTTAAACTATAGCAATAGTATGCATACATTTAAAAATATATATGCAAAATATCATCGACTTTTAATAATTTCAATGAAAGATAATAATAGAAAGAAACAATTGAACAAAAACTGCACATATTTTTATGGATCATTTTGCAGCCATAAAAACACTTAACAATAAAACATAAATGCAATAAATATGGCTATAGTTGTCGTTCATTTAAACTACTCTTCACATAATGGACTCAATCACTAAATACAATATATTGTTTATTATAGACTATATCTCTTAAAATATAATAGACTTCGTTTTTAGTTACATGTAATAAGTTTTTAATGTAATTTCAGTATAAATATTTCAATTAATTGATAATATATATATAAATTATAATAATCAAAGATAAACAATATGCTGCATAAATTAATTACAATATATTTAGTTCATATACAGTATATGTATATAATATTAATATAATTTATTTATGTTGTGTACACCATAACAATGTACAGTATATATGGCTAATATCACTAATGATCGGCATTTAAAACAATTTTTTTAAATAAAATGAAAGTGTTTAATATAACTAAAAATAGCAAAATTACTGAATTATACAGTTTTTTATTTTTAATATAAATGAGTAAAATACGGTATATTAAATGAAATATTAAATATTTTATTATGGTTATATAAAATGAACATTTGATTTGAATTCAAATATTTTGCTTCAAATATCTAATTAAAAATAAAATTATCAGTAATTGTAATCATAGTTTAAAATATTATGTAAAACATTCTTTCGCTCATTAGATGAGATTTTTATTTCAAATAATTTTTTGAAAATTATATAAATTTTGCTTAAAGTCAGAGAAATTCAGGCCAATCATTGAATTGAATATATGAAATGTGTTAATAAGAAAAAAATGATAAAATATGGTCTCATATTAGTCCCAGGTTTAGTTATATTAGTTGAGTCCATGTAATGCCTCAAACAATGACATACATTAGTAGCTATGAATTCATTATTTAGTGCCTCTGTTTTCACTGATGATTAATACCTCATTATATGATACATAATATATAGTACTGAATGACATATAAGCCCTTTAGTCAAAATGTTTATTAAATGTAAGTTCATTACAAAAGAGAAAACATGTATTCAATTCTATGAGGAGTTACCACTATATATATATATATATATATATATATATATATATATATATATATATATCCTAAAACACCACCAAATCTATAGTTTTAAAGTAATGCAAGAATTCAATCAAATCATATGAAAAACCGTTTTTCACTAATTTTCTACAAAAACTTTGCTATTAGTGGTAATATAAAAGAAAAACTATGAAATAAAAGTTTTTACTTTAATAAAACTAAAAATGTTGTCATACTATTTTCAAAATATTACTATAATTAAAATTAATTAGTAAGTTAAACAAATATAACTCGTAAATATTTTATTTATATTTTATAAAGTTTATATATTTTACATTAAAAAAATACTTATTGATTACTCATTAAAAATGAGATAAATAAATAAAATTATGTTAAAGTAATTTATTTAGCTTCAAATAATCATTTTCAAAAAAATATTGAATATTTTGAATAACATTGAATAAGAATATTGAATAACATATGTATCTAAAGTATATTGATTTAGTATAATTAGTCAGTATATGAGATAATTGCCAATCAATCGATTGTCATTAAATGATAGCACATATTTAATTGTGGTTTCGCCCAAAACAACTCATCTCCAAACACAAGGTATTCCCTAATCATTATTTAACAAATTTGTCAATCAATTGATTTTTGAATCTTTTTTTAAAATTCAGTGAAAAATTTGAATCAATAGATTTAATGAGTTAAATGTCAAATACAAGACTATAACTCAAAATGATTATAAAGTGTTACCAACTTTATTATTTTAGTAAAGTATACTAATATTTGATAAGCCTTTCACATCATTATTATTAAATACCAGGAGAGACTATATTTTCATGTAATA